GACACTCAAGACATTGTTTCAAATTACTCGTGATTCACATATTTTATCAGTGAGGTATTTTAAATAAAGGTAAAAAGATGTCCTTACATGTTTTCACTCAGGTTATGTGTCAATTAAAATGACATCAAAAATGGGGTTTATAAATACAATGCTTATTGTTGTCTACATGGAATAACTTAGCACACCATTTCTGATCAATAAAGAGCTAACTCTTACATAATAATTTGGAATTTTTTGTCCATTAAAATACTGTGGTGGTCTAAAATCATCTAGAAAAATTCTTAAAGTAGCTAAGTGGGGACACTTAGGCTTGGAAGGGGAATGCTGGACTGAACTTCCCTGGGTGGATTTAAAAAAAGGCAGCTACTTGAAATTGATTCTTTTCACTTTGGCCACTAATGGGGTTCCCAGTGTCTTCCTTATTCAAGCCTTATGGGGGACTCAGCCCAACCAAACTTGCTAAATATTATTTTAATATATTTACATGGGTTTGCATCAAAAGGTCAAGTGCTCTATGGGTAAAATAAAGATTTCTTACAAAGAGATGCTCAGACATTGTGTAGTTCAGCAACATCATTCGGGAAGTTTAAGATTAGAAACAAATAATCTATGATGTATATCTATAGACAGGTATATTGTACTTGGATAGCATTCTACTGAATGATGACAAAATTCTGTGAGAGTTTATGTTATTTGATATCTTATAATTGGTTATAGATGGCAATGACTGAGTAAAAGGTTGCTCTGCACTAAGTTAAACATTTACATATGTTTCAGAGATAATAACAATACCTAATGGCTCTAATATATTAATTTCATTTTAATTATTAATGCTACACTGCTATGCTGCCCTAGATTTCCAGTTTTCGTGGAAAGACTATGTAATTGCTCTCTATTAGCATTCTGCAGAGATTCAACTTCTAAAACAACTATGATTGGAAAGAAATAACAGTTCTTTTGTCATATTATCTATTTCAAAGTGTTTAACAATTAGATAGGTGATAAAACTAAACCTACTGCTGTAATTACAAGATCGGTGTAGCTAATTCTTTTGGGTGTTCAACAACTGAGGTTTGGGAACCAGAGAAAAAAGACAACTGGGCTAAGAGGACAGCCCATAGTTTTGCCTTGGCCCTCCAAGGCCAACAAGGACCCAGGACAGAAGGGGACCTTTCCTACAAGATCCTACCACTTTGGTGAGTCACTCAAACTCCTGAGCCTAGAGATTTCCTAAGCCCAAAGAACAGGAACCAACAAAGGTAAGGTGTGCTAAAAAGGATCATCACTAGAGAGAAGTATATCACCCCTGCTTCTAATGGAAAGCCATGTGGTCAAGCAAGACCATGACACAACCTTAAAGCTGACACTGAGTAAGGAGCAAAGAGGTTCTACATATGATCCCACAGGTAACACTTAGAAATCCTTAACTTACCTTGATGTTTGGGAGAAGGTTAATTTTGGTTAATACTGGTCTCACTTTAGCTTGACCTTGAATACTTAGCAGGAACGTAAAACCAAAGCTATGACAGTAACAGTAATGATGACTAGATATAAAAAGGGGCTCCAGTCACTAACCCATGCTGGCAGTGTCCAGCCACACCGGGAGACAGATCTGAGAGCCAGCTGGTTACAATTGTTCTTTCCATGTTACTGCTCATGCTTTGGTGGTATATGTTTAATCTCTTGGTAGGGTTTATTTGTTCTCACCTAGCAGCTGTCAAACTCCAAATGATCATGCAGACAGCCCTCCAGATGGAGGGACCCGTCTCCTTTCCTCTACTGTGGCTCGTACAGTCAACCTCCTAATGGACATTATCCACTGTCACAGCTAAGGCTCCTTGTCAGCAGGAGGTAACCAGAGCGATCCCAACAGCAGTTGGATGGCCATTTCCTGAGGCGGGAATCTATGGATTCTTACATAGGACTAGATTGATTAGGGGACTGGGCCCTTTTTAGAGGCCTCTGCATCTCAGCAAGCAGCAGACAGCCGAGCTGGCAGCCTGTAGTTTTGACACCTCCTTCTGTGAAGCTAACTGCCCCACATAAGCCTCACTTTTAAGTAGATTACTTCTCCTTAAATTAAAAAAAAAATTTCCTCTCTACATTCCTCTATTAGCCCACAAGACCAAACCTCTAACAACAAGCCCAATATCCAATCAATCTATTTCAACACTTGGGAGAGGAGGGTGAAGATGAAATCCTTACCCCATACGACAGGACCTCAGCCCTAGATGTCTCAGCTCTGAGCACCCTCACTGCTTCCCTGGAGTGGCTTTGTACCACTTCCTCCCATGTTTACTATAAAATTACTTCTGCTTTGTACTGGTCTTCTCTTAATCCTCTTCTTCTTTCTCCATGAGAGAGAGGGAGAAGGAGAGAGAAAGGGGCCTGGTGAGGGTGAGTTTGTGGATCCCTAGACCACAGGCCCACCTGATGTAACACAGAGCCCCTCACGGAGGAAGTACAATGGATCACCATGAGGATTTGTTTCTTTCTGGGGTTCTTGATAGTATTTTGTTTCTTCATAGAAATGAAAGGAAAAATTATAGAATACTTTGTTTAGATTGCTCTATAGTTCTAAATTAAAGAACCATAAAAATATTGTTAATCTGCTAAACCTCCATTACTGGTACTTGAATTTTGCAGCCAAGTTAATCATCTCAGAAGGACAGAAAAGTAGCTAAACAATTTGCACTCTTATCTTTGAATCTAGGCCTCCCAGTCTCTGGTAAACTTTATACTGCCATGTTTTTTTTTCCTATTTCACTTCTGACCTTTAGGGCATGGCTATTTCAAAATACCATGACATTAAATAGACCATTGTTTGTCTTAGTGGATGCCATGGGCTATTTCTTACTAGGGCAGTTAACTCTACAATTATTCTAATGTGAACCTAGCTAGGATTACTGTTCGTACAGATCCTAATCTTTTGACTAGGAAAATTTCAGTAGCAAAGCATTTCATATTATTGAAATGAGGAAAGTATGTTTTGCATGAAATAAATTCCCTTTAAAGCTTGGTGCTTAACAGTTAGGTTATATAGAAAGCCAATAAACATTTTGAGAGGCAGCTTCAAAAAAGGCCAAAGTATTCCGTTCAGGTTCATGAACACCTGTTTTGGTCCCATTTTGAAACAGATCTTCAACAATATTTAAACAGATCTTCTAGGAGATCTGTCACAAAGGAATTTAGAAGAGAGACATTGATGGTTTAATGTATTTCCTTATAACCCTAAAACATATCTACTGTGTCAGTCATTATCTCACCCCTTTTTCAATTTTCAAATTATTCTGGCTGTTCCCTTTTGTAAGATCGGTAAGAAAAGAAAACTTACACTGTCTGGGATTTTGCTTTCAACTCTCCCTCTGAAGATTGCACAATTATTTTCTGTAGATTATTTTCACTGCTGCTGAAAATCTGTAACTTATACAAACCCGATGAAAAGAATTGTAGATATATTCTGCAAGGAACACCCAGAAATTTAGCTTTCAACAGGTCAACAAATGAGAAAATTACTGTAGATATGAAGCTTTAATTTATTCTTAAAAAAAAAAAAATATATATATATATATATTTGTACCGGGGATTGAACTTGGGTCCTTGAGCTTTCAAGGCAGGCCACCCAACAGCTGAGCTAAATCCCCAGCCCTTAAAAATATATTTAGTGAAATAAAATAACAAGTTCATCTAAAATGCATCCCTTTTTTGCTTTTTATTTTAGAAGACAGTTGACTTTGGTACTTTTGTCTTTTCCTCTCTGTCATGTACAATTTTTGTTTTAGTAATCTTCATGCATCACTTGAACCATTAAACTTTCAAAGTATAATAAGTAAATAGAAAACATTCTGTCCCATTCATGTATTTTGATTTAAGGTAGTAGTAGCAGGAAGCAAAGAGAACCAAAATCTTAAAGAAACACACTGTTATCATGTTCAGTTGGATGGAAATTAAAATACACTTGAAATTTGGAAAGACAGAACAGAAAGCCCAAGATAATCTGAAGAAAACTGCTAGTGGAGTTTTCCCCAAACAATATGTATGTTCATCTTAGTATCACTGTGGTGGTCATCATCTTGAGAAGACAACATTCAAATGTGTTTGCATTTAGGGGCTTCTGTGTCCTCCATGCCACATGGTATTTTGGGTAGTAAAGACAAGTTTGTTTGCTGCCTAAGATAATTAAGTTCAACAGATACAGCTCCCTTGTCTGGTAAGCATTCTGTTTAGAAATATTAGCCATTTGCTAGGATCTAAAATTTTGTACCATCTGCAGAATTCTAGTTCCTTCAGGCTAGGAAAAGAAAGTAGGAAGGATTGTGCTGCAAAATAAACTACCAGATTAGCAAACTATAAACTTCCTCACTCAGTTCTGCGGTGCTTGCTACTTCAGTAAATCATCTGGCCCTTTTGCACTTTCACATTTTTTTTCCTTTCATAAGTCAAGATTATCAGAAAAATACTAACAAGAAATATTACTGGCTTAAAAGAAATCACCAGGTATTTAATTAATTACTTCAGGCTTGCTTTATTTATTTTTTTTTTTTTGGCCTTATACATTCCCTGTAGAGCTTGCTTTGAAGTTGTAGACAAATTAAATCAACCCCTTGGATCACGTGTTCCAAAGAATGTGGTTTTCCAGGTATGAATACTCTATCAATCCCTTCGTCTTCTTTCCTTTTGGCATTTAAACAGTCCTTGCAGATTCCTTGCCAGATATTTGATTTTATGCCTTAGTCACAGCAGCTTTACTGAGAGTTTTAGAATCACCTGTACAAGATGCACTTTTAGCGTTGTCAGAGACGGGCTCCTTCCATGATGATTGTGCAAGCGTTCATAATTATGGCTGTAGGTAAACATACCACTGTCTTCTTGGAGAACCGAGAAGTACAGAGAATGTTTATATGTCTTTGGTTTGGACACACCTGAGTCACCCTCCCCCACTTAGTGGCCAAGAAAGTTGTCCTACCTGATTTGCAAGTTTACCTGTTGGAGTCATTAGAGGGGGCACTTCCTCAGCCAATACTGGATTTTACCTCGCTAAAAGCAAGGCAGTTTTTACTTGGAGAAGCACTGGGTCCTGAGTTCATTACTACTACAGGAAAACTGTTCATTCTGCAGCACAAAATTTTGTTCCCTAGCAGAGCTGCCAGCTCAGTGTTGCAGTTGGGTAAAGGATGGCATCCTATGTCCTGCAGATAGCCGGACTGGTGCTTGGTGGTATTGGCATGGTTGGGACACTGGCTGTCACCATCATGCCCCAGTGGAGAGTGTCAGCCTTCATTGGAAGCAACATAGTGGTTTTTGAAAACCTCTGGGAAGGACTATGGATGAACTGCATGAGGCACGCTAACATCAGAATGCAGTGCAAAGTCTACGATTCTCTGCTGGCTCTTTCTCCAGACCTACAGGCATCCAGAGGACTGATGTGCGCTGCGTCTGTGTTGTCCTTCTTGGCTTTTACGACAGCCATCCTCGGCATGAAGTGTACCAGACTGACTGGGGACGATGACAGTGTGAAGAGTCGCATCCTGTTGATCTCCGGGATCCTCTTCAACATCACAGGCACTGTGGTGCTCATCCCTGTGTCCTGGGTGGCTAATTCCATCATCAGAGACTTCTACAACCCAGTAGTGGATCCTGGCCAGAAACGTGAGCTCGGAGAAGCCCTGTACATAGGCTGGACCACAGCGCTGGTGCTGATTGCTTCAGGGGGACTGTTTTCTTGTGTTTTTTGTTGCACAGAAAAGAGCAGTAGGTACAGATATTCTGTACCATCCCATAGGACCACTCAGAAGAGTTTTCATATGGAAAAGAAGTCACCAAGCATCTATTCCAAAAGTCAGTATGTGTAGTTGTCTGTGTTTTTACCTTTAAGCATAAAACCGTGCAAATGACTAAAATGTTCATGTCTTTCTACAACTAGAACTCAAAGGACTGTTAATTTGGCTTCCTCAACTGCCTAGCATTAATTACAGGAACCATCATTTATGATCTATAAGCTGTTTCAGTCGAGTGAGATATTATACACACTGCTTTCGTTGTTCTAGGAAGTACGAGAGTTTGTTTTCTAAAATGGTTTATGCATCTCTTCCTTGTATTAGTTACTTCAAAATGACTTTGCTAAAGACTTATTTTACAGCTGTGATTTCTCTGTGTCATCGCATTATGCGTGTAGATGAGCATGATGTTTATATCTCACAGAGAGACCAGCTTATATGGTTCGATTTAGAATGAAATACTGATCCATTACACTGAATAAATACAAATCAACTTTTGCTTTTCAAGGGAACCAGGAAAAGACTGAAGAAGGTTAGTATTAATTGTTTAAAAAGAGCTTAGGGACTAATGCACTCCATTTATAATGAAGGTTAAAATGAAGGCTTTAGTCAGCAGTGTAAAGGGAACTAAATGGCTTTCTGATGTCCCTGTTTTTCAGCACAGGAATTAGAAATCCTAACTCCTTTATCTTCTTTCCCAGGAGGTTTTTCCCTTCTTGTATATTAAATTAACATGTTTTAAAAAATAGATATTTCCTCAAGGGACATTATATTTAATCTACTTTTCCTGAGCTGTTCTAAGAAGGAAAATAAAGCTATGATCTAAGAAAAATTAGCAATTTGAGGAAATTGAGTTTATTATCTTTTTTTTGTAACTGTAGAAGGATGCATTTTGACAATAAAAATTATATATATATATATATATATATATATAAATATTTCAATAAATATTTGAGTGAAGTCTTTGGGATTTTATCAATATAAAGAAAGAATCTAAATAATCTGATTTGATTTTGATTTTCTTACAAGAAAAGTGTACTCTGAAAATTTAATCTGCTCCTAGATGGATATTTCAATCACAGTTGTCATTTAGCTCTTTCATAGATACATTTCTTTATTTGTTCTATTTTTATTGAGTTCTGATGAAGTGTACAAGTACTGTATGTGTTTTCTCCAAATTTGATCTAATTGATCATCCAATTTGGAAGTTTGCATCTACATTTGTCCATTTAATGGACTACCTGTGCTATTTGCTTCATATCATTTGTATTAATAAATTGTACCTTTTCATACTTATATGACATTCTCTCATTGTTCCTTCTGTATTTTATTAATTTTGTAAAAGCATTTCTAAAACCTGCCATTTTTGCCTCCTTGTTTTAAATAGAATTCCAAGGACTCGTTTTAATGACAGAATCAGTGTTAATTTTCGAGCATATAATATAATATTTCACTTAATGATCTTATAAATTTTAGATATGTACACTAATATTTGATGCAGTTAATTTATAACCTTTAAGAGTACTGAATATATTTTACTCTATTTTTATAAATGTGTTTATAATACCTATGTTGTAAATATTCCATAGCTACATACATATTTCAAACTCTAAGAAATCATATAAATTAATAATAGTGGTTCACGTTCAGAGAGAACATATAATACACCAAAACCCCCACTGATTTATTATACATTATGTCATTAAAACTTTTATGAGGTTGATAGTGTCTTTATCTCAATTATCACAAGTAGTGACACCCCAAAAATGTTAATTGACTTTACTTGATAGACTCAAGAGAAAAAATAAAGATTGATTGATTTTATAGCTCATGCTCTTTCACTTTAGGCAAACTAAATTTTTCCAGCTCTTTCTAGCTTATAAACTGATCTTTGTATGTGAAAACAATATACTTGTCTACTGTTACTTGAGAAAACACTTTGTTATATATCTTTTTTCCTGTATGAGTGATTTTCCTATTCCTCCATGCTAATCCATCCTTGGAGTCAAAATATTCATAAGATCAGAAATAAAACAAAATTAACTGATTGCACTGGAGAAGAAATTCTGGGGCACAATCTTCTAAGTATCACTCCTTAATCAACCCTACTTTTTATCTAGAAAGTTCCCCTGAACATCCCTCTTTTTCTTAAAAGACAATCATATAATTTCTAATTTTCCTTGTGACATTGTTTTTCTTATATCTCTGAAATTGTTTTCCACCTTTCCACTTTTACTATCATCTCATCTCTGCCCTGTAAAGTTTAAATGACTTTTATTCTTGTGTCATTTTTTGCAGAATATTTTTTCTCTAACTGTCTTCTGTACTTCTGCCTCAGTTCTTAACATCTAGATTAGGCATCTAATCTAGGGTTTTCTGGACTTTTGTAACACTGCCCAACTGCCCATATTCCCTTAAAGTAAATTCAAATGCCTTAGGGTATGATAACTGACATGAAGGAAAATATGGCTCGTAATGTTTGAGACAAATTTTATCAGATAGCATAGCATCCAGTGTATAACCAGTTTAAGAACAATTATAGGGTTGCTAACAACTTACACTCCCAAAGCTTTGTTTAAAATTCTGCAAAAGATACATGGGGGATTTGGTAATGGTTCAGTTGGTGTTCTTATGTGCAAAAGTAGGTCCAATTGTGTAATTTTATATTTTTAAAAAAGTCATGTAATGGATTGAACTCAAGGAAGCAGAGACACATTTTTAAATTTTCACCTATCGGTTGGCTTTATAACTTCAGACAAATTTTAGAATACAATGTATTTTGGTTTCCTTTTCTATTATTTTCCAATTAGCAGAAACAGGAAGCACTTTGAGTGGAAGAAACCCACTTAGACTTTCTTATCTTTGATCTCCTAAGTTTATAGTGAAGATAATGGAGCTTGTTTTAGGAGGAACGTATATAAACTCTGAAGCAGCCAGCTTGATACAACCAAGAGTGCTTCTCTTATAAAATGTTGCCTTAAAATTATTTGGAATTGAATATAAAATTCACAATTGAATGAATTAATAAAAAATGTGAATTAAAAATTGGAATCATTTTTCACTAGGTATTATGAATCTTATCAAATTTACAAATCTTGTCAACAGGTTATTTTATGGCTATGTATCTCTGGGAAATAGATTTTTCTAGTGAATTATAAGAAATACAGATTCATTTTTATAATTTTACAATTTATATCAAAATCAAAAAAATTAATATGCACATGTATTTTGCTTAGTACAATTTAGACTACTACTTTAGGATAAACACTAAAAATAGTTTTATCCATTTTTTTCAAATCTTTGATTGCTGATGTCATTTACACCAAACAAATTTTCAGATATGGTGGAAATTTTTCAGCCCCAGAGAACTTCACTTCTGAATGAAATTCTAAGAGTTTGTTCTGAAATGCAGCTTTACAGAGTACTCCACACATACCTCACTGACGACTCAGAGTAACACTAAGCCCCAGGTTATTGAAATTCCACCAATACTTAAATGAGTCTTTTATAACAATAGAAAATACCAGAACGAAGCTGACACAGGAAAAGTTTTTGGAAACTTTTGTAAGAATGAGTTTGTAAGAATGAGTCTTGTTCTGTGTTTTTAGAGATGAACTTATTAACAGTCATCAAGCACATTAAACAAATTTTTCTCCCCAAATACCACTTTCCTTCATTCCCAAGATTTTCTAGTTGTTCACTGTGATGCCTAGGGTTGCTTCTACCTTTTTCAAGCACTCCATTTTCCAGGTGAGATTGTAAGAAACATGATGAGAGGGAAGAGAGACATCGGTGGAGATGGATTGGTGTGCAAAGTAATAAAAATAACCTTGTAAAAATATCACAAATGAATCTTTCTTTCTTCTTCCTTTCTCCCTTCCCTCCTTGTCTCTCTTTGTTTTCTCTCTCTCTCTCTCCTTCCACCTTTCCTTCTGTCATTTCTTTCCTTCCTTCCATCCTTCTTTTCTTCTTTTCTTGAGTTAAGCTACCTCCCTCTTGTTGTTTTTAAATGCTTTTTGCAGGTAGAGATGCAGGGAGATATTCTTCATAACTTCACAAAGGTACTCTCGAGAAAGGAATCATACTTTATTAGGTACTGAAATGTAGAAGAAATGCTTGCTTAAATGAACTTCTTTTGATTTATAAATCTGAGAAACCCTCTGAAGCAAATGAAGCCCAATTTTAAGGCCCTGGTGCCTTCCAGCACTGACTCCCAATACAATGCTTTTTTTAACTTTAACCAAGGGAGAAAAAAGGCAGAAAAAAAATTCAGCTCTGTGCTCCAGTACTATTTCTCACTATAGAACTATATATGATGGCTTAAAATCCTAACTTTATTTATCATGATTTGCATGTTAGGACTCTTAAGTATCTACCCAAAGCATTAGTTGGAGCTGGTATTTGAGGCTGAACAAAAGGGTGAATAACAACAGTGTCCTTACTGCCTGGCTACTTGGCAGTGATGTCTGAAAGTCTGCAAGGTAGTCTGATGTCTACCATGGGGGTCAAGGGCTCTGAGATCTGAGTAAAAGGACACCAACCCTGTTATCAAACCTGGCACTCCAATCACAGGTGCTTAGCAAGAGTAGGAGTCTATCTTCAGTGGGTATTTGCTGCAAGTTAACTAGAGTAACTTCTAGTTATAAAAGATGTGGGAGATTGTTTTCTTCTGGACAAATTCAGTTAGTTAGCACAAGTGGTCATTCCCAAACACCAGGAAGTTTAGGACAAACTCTGGGTGACATGAGACACTCTCAAGTCCTCTTAACCAAAGACTATTTGCCCCTTGAGAATATATGTGAGGTTATATCTGCTTGGCTAGACAAAAAAAAGTGTGACTTCTGTCTTTTCAATCTTAGCAGATTCCAGTGATCCCAGCATAGATCTGACTGGTCATCCAATGTGGCTTAATGTTTATTCAGTAACAGAACTGGTTTCATTCTCTACTACCTTTTCAGAGAGGCTTTTTGGAGTGGAAGATGTTAAGTTACAGTTCCGCAAGTGAGGCTAAGACAAGGACAAAGTTGAAAATATTTGAACAATCTAGAAATTTATGCTTAGTAAAATCAAATAAGTTAATAAATCTTTTATAAATACACGTTCATCTGAACACTACTTTTCATGATGCAAATAATCTAATTGCCCCACAGAGAAAAAGTTAAATAAATGATTGAATATTCATCCATTCATTTACCTATTATCTTTCTACTACTGAGGTATCCTTATGTACATGAATATTATTGTGATAAAATATTATGAAAATAAAGTAGTTTGAAAATTATATTTTTTTTTTTTTTTTTTTTTTTGGTTTTTTGAGACAGGGTCTCACTGTATAGTGGAGACTGACCTGGAACTCATTATGGAGCCCAGGCTGGTCTCAAACTCACAGTGATCCTTCTGCCTCAGCCCTCCCAAGTGCTGGAATTACAGGTGTGAGCCACCACGCCCGGCCCATAGTCACCATAATCTTAATGAAAGCATTATCTCCCCCCACAAATACACGCACACACACACACACACACACACACACACACACACACACACTAACTGCAAAAGTAAATGGGTAAAAAACGAGTGGCTACTGTTTTAAAATGTTTTCTGTATTCTCACTTTTATTGAACAACTATTTTCTTACAAAGAAAAGTCAATGAATGTATAAGTGAGTATATTTTAAGGAAGACGTATATTAAAAAGAGAAGACAGGTGACTTGGCAGAAATTCAGAACAAAATTATAGTGGAAACAGTGAAGGAAGACAAGGAGATGCCAAGAAAAATAATAAAACAAT